AGAGACAGCAGCAGCATACACAGGCCCAAACCACATGGGATCCCAGTGCTGAGAGTGAAGTGAATACAAGCCCACACCCCTGATCCACAAGTCATAAAAGAATTAGTTTTCTCCCAATGGAGTCTTACTGTGTAGACAAACCAGACTCAAGGGTTTATATACCCATGCTAGCAGTAGACAGCCAATGTAAAACAAACTCAATGGTATTTCAGAGAAACTTTTTGTGTCTTAATGCTTTCTCTGGGCTTTTTTTTTTAACTTTACCAGTCTTTTGCTTATATATTATTATACTTTTCAATCTGTGTTTTCTGTGTGTGTGTGGGGGGGGGTGCTTTTTGTTGCTTTTTTTTTTTTAAATACTTGCTTGTTTGTTTTCTAAAGAGTGAGAGCAAAAGGCAGTTTGAATGGCTGGGAGGGAGGGAGGATCTGGGAGGAGATGAGGGAGGGGGAACCATATCAGAATAATTTTCATGAAAAAAAATATTTTCAATAAATACAAAATACAAGAGTAAGTCATTAAATTTTAATAAATTTGTCATTCCCAATATTATTTCTTAACATTATTCTAGATCCCAGTTTCTTTCTTTTAGTCCCTCTCACCCTGTCCTTGGTTTATAGCTACCACATAAACCAGCTCTAAATTTCTAAACACATACTTAAATATGAACCACACAGATACTCCTTTTACTCTCTTCCAGCCACTGAATAAAGTAACATTTTTACTGTTAGGTTCACTGTTCCCGAGTAGTTGGCAGTCCCCAGTAGACAGTGAGGCCAGCCACAAACCTCAGTGGCAGCTCAGGAAATATACACAACACTAAACCATGACTTCCATCTCCTTTTGTTCTCCTCGTATGTGTTGAGACTGCTATGACTAGCAACGAGTCAGCAGAGGAAGAGTAGGCAGACAGTGCTTCCCCTCCCCCTGTGGGAGCCTTGTCACTTAATCACCTGGGAAACAAGAAAGCCCAATTCAGTTGCTAAGGTAGACAGGGCTTAGAGATGACTTCGAAGTGACATTCAGGGAAAGGGGTGTGAGCAGTGGAGGAAGACCTGAATGGCACGTGTTATTGACACGGGCACGGCCATGTTCAGGACCATAGCCTTAAATCCACAGACCATCACTAGGATGAGGCTCAGAGACCAAAGCCCCTCTCTGGTTCACTGCAGATGATGCCACTGTGTGCAGAAAATGTCCACCATAGCCCCAGAAGGCTGCTTTTCTATGAAGATGCTCGATCCCACCCAGATCAGCTAAACTTGCCTCCTCATTCATCTGTATACCATAAGCTCTGCCTCTCAGATTCACCTGTGCAACAACCCTGCCTCTCTGTTCAAACTACATAAACATGCTGAGATTCCCGGGTGCTGAGGCTTCTCCACCAGAGAACCCAGGCTGCCCAATCCAGCTTTTCTGTGTTTGTCTTTTCTTCATTCTCTCATTGCCACCAGCAGGTCAATCCCTGAGCTGTACAAGGACACAGCAAAGAGAAACAAATATAGTGCCCAGGGGCTCAGAAACAAGCAAGGACAAAGGTCATTATAGCAGCATTTCTGTTACCTACTTCAAAGGGTCCATCTTACTTGTTAAGATCATCCACCAAGCCAGGATCGAATCAGAGCAAAGAAGGCCTGCCTGTCACTTTTAGAATGTCCTAACTAAGTTTCAACACCATCCGGATGCTCATGCCCCACACTGGAAACCACTCTAAGCTCTTAGCCTCCGATCCCCTCCCATCACCGGAGCTGTCAGTACAATCTCTGCCATCTCTACAACACCATACCCCTTTCTACTCCCACTTTTCACAGCTGAGCTCTGCTTTAACTGGATCCACTGAGCGGAGCAAAATGGTAAACAGGTGAAATGAAGGTAGAATGAAGCCCGGTTAGCAACAACTCAACATTAAAACAATGAATGTTATCTTTGCTTCTTTCACTCCTATTCATGCAATTATTCATATACTCCAAGGACCAGTTCAAACATCAGCACTTCTGAAGACTTTCCCAATACCTTAAGGCAAAGTACATGCTTTTTTCTCTCTACTGAACCCATTCAAGGACTCACTGTAGCAATTGTTACCAAACATTGGCTGACTCAGTGGACAGGAATTTGCTCCTGTTCGAGCACAGAACCTGGCATTAGAAAATTTGTCCAATAGATAAATGAAGACTTTGTCAAGAATTGGCAGTTATAAAGAAAACTCGGGCAAGAGATGGCTCAGTGGGTGAGGGCAATTGCCCCAAGCATGGCTATCTGAGCTTAAATCTGGGACTCACGTGGTAGAAACAGAGAACCAACTCCCACAAGCTGTCCCCTGACCTACACACACATTCCTCTTACCTATACACACACACACACACTAATACATGCATGGTTTTGCATGCTTACACACAAACACAAAAAATAAATATAATCTAAAATTTAGGGGAAAATAAACTGAACACACAAAATGAAGGGTTATAAAGGCAAAATACATGAGGCATTCCCAGAGGTAGACATAAAAGACATTAGCGATCCCCACAGAACATGAACTGGAAAATTAACCTTCTAGAAGTTCACATAGAAATGCAGACATAGAGGAGCTAACCCAAAACAAGTAGGTTACTCAACCACGAACAAATTAATTTGGCTGATAAAACATTAATGCTATGAAAACAGTTTTGATTAAGGGATGGCATTATAAAGTATACTGTTAGTCTTATTAACTCCATCTTCCACAGATATTCCAATCTGTAAAACTCAAAGATGACTCAAAGAAAGTCTCAAAAATCAACAAAATTACTTTAACAGAAGGAATAGTTATTATTATATCTAAAACTCTATACATACTGAACTTAAAAACCACGGCAATTTTCTTATAAAAGTCTACATTTTACAGATGGGTATGTTATCTAAACTAGTGTTTAAAATATTTTTTTATGTATGTGTATGTGTTTACATACATGTATGTAGATGTGTGTTTAAAGGGCAAAGGCTAACAGGTTATCTTCCTCCCTCAATTACTTTTCCAACACTTTTGGGTTTATGGTGTATGTGTATGTGGTTCCATGTGCAGGCCCACAGGCACATATGTGCATGTGTGTGGAGACTAGAGGCTAATGCTCACAGATTCAGCTAAACAGACAACAAGCTCCAAGGACCCACTGGTCTCTCCTTTCCAGTGGTGTCAAACAGTGTTCTAAACATTTGAATACATTTACAATGTAAGTGTAAATAATTACCCAGATTAAAGGACAGGAAGGTACAAAGAAAGTTAAGGGCAATGACTTGCAAAAGGAAATAACCAGGAAGGAAAAAAAAAATAGATGAAAAATCCCATCTACAAAGTAAGTTTCTGCACTACAAAAAGTTCCTCCAGTTCTGCAATGCAAGAACACACTGTCCAAACTAGTCCAAACAATCTTGTTCTATAAATTCATATCCAAATGGGAATTAAGTTCTTCTCAGGTAATGGTCTAATTTTCATTCACCACAAGAAAAACACAAGAGCAAAATAACTGCATGAAGTAAGACACACAGGCTGACACAACAGCGGGACAGTCTGCATCCTTTCCATACCCTGTGCCAAGATAAGCCTGAAAGCACACCACTGGGAGCAGGCTTGTCACCAGGAACGAGAACACAGACTGTTCACACAAAGGCTACACTGATGAACAATTCTTGAGGACAGCACATGTTAGTTTTCTAAATCACAGACAGAGCTAAAGCATTAAAGTTATGAAAAGAAAAAGAAGATAGAAACAAGATACCCCCGTCCCCCAGGCAAGTTTGAGCCTCTCCTGAGACTCTGCTTCTGCTTTGCTCAGTCACAGTAGAGGAGCCTCACAGGGTCAACAGTCCTCAGTACTATGGTTCCAAAGACTAACTGCAGATGCAGACTGCTTGTTTGTACATGCACTGCACCCTGAACAGTGGGATACATTATAAATGGCTACTGACTAGCTGAACCTTCTCCAACATAAAGGTCTATCTTCTACCTCCCTGAACACTACACAACAAAGTAATGCAGCAACAAAGTAATAAAAGGAAAATCAATCCTTTAGCTCTGGCCTCATGTCCCTAAAGTTATACTCATCATAGTTTTAGATTCCCCATCAAGGGAAAAGGAAAGACTACACAGTACTAGAAATCCAATAGATCTACTAGAAATCTAATAGATCAGGTCACACAGTTACTAAAATCCAAGTCATAACAAAAATGCTTCATGAGGCTTTTTTTTAAAGCAATAACATTCTTGGCATATGTAACATCTTGCAGTTTGCTTTAAAATGCTTGATCTTCAACAAAATTATTTTCTTTTACATAATCTAACTTTTTGAATGAGGAGAAAATTAATTCTACTGAATGGAAGGAGTGCCGCTTTAATAGCAATGTTGTAAATTCAGTGAAAAATGAAGGTAAAAAACTAATAAAAACAACGCAGCAAGTTTTCTTCCACATTTAACTCACAAACTCAACCAATTGCTCCTGGCTTACTGAACTGTTAATAAAATGTCACACTGATATCACACACAATTTCAAAACTATACTTCATTCACTCTGAAAGCTAATGCCAATGAAAGTTAATCTTTATAAAATAAAAAGGCTCCTCAAAACACAAAGCACACAAGCACAGAAATGCAAACAAACCCATTTCCTAAAGTGAGCACTGTACAAACCACAGCTTACATTTGCTCTACAGCCACTCAGCAAGGCAACTCAGGGCTGCCTTAGCTTGGCAAGACTCAGGATCACAAGAGTGGCTCAACACTACACCCTTCCATCTATTTTGTCTATAAGGTCACACCCCAATGAGTATTAAGCTCTTCTCAGGTAATGGTCAAATTTTCATTCATCACAAGAAAAGTACAAGAGCAGACAGATTGCATGACATGAGACAAACAAGTAGACAAAACAGTAGGCAATAACCACCTCAAACAGAGCAACAGGTATGTATGATAAGACAGAAAGTCTATACAACATATACTGGAATCGTAGGACATACTTTGGCCCCCCTTACCTGAAGAGCTCTCGGTAAACACTGTTAATGTCTGTCCTCCAACACTTTGCAAGACAAATGGATGCTCTCGAGGAGCGCTGACTGAAGCTGGTTTCCCACCAATATCATGAATATTTGCAAGATCCTCGTTTAAAGTAAACGATACCTAGTGGACAAATTAACCAAGCTTATTAAAATTCAAAGTATCTATACAGACAGTTTGATTACAATTTTTAAACTTTTAAAAGATGTGAGTTAAGTCTCGTAAACATTTATTTCTTAAGTGTCACCCAGAAATCCTTAATTCTTAAGCTGTAAACAGAAGATTTATCTCCATGTGTCAGAATGATGGAGCTTGTACCAGTCTTCTCTGGTCTGTGGCTGAAAAAGTCTTTCCAGAACAGGACTGATGTTACTTTTTTACTAAAACATTCCCTAAGACTTAGCACATGCTTGACACACAGAAGGAAAACATTTGTTGAAAGAATATTTTAATATTGAGAAATCAACTGTATCTGAAAAGGGTAAGGGGCAAGCTAGTTATTCTAAAAAGCTTAAATACTCTATGCACAGGATAAATTTCATTTTTTAGGTTTAACAGCTATTGTATGAATATATGATACTATTTTATTTTAAGATACTTTAAAACATTCCATTTTGAAGAATAATTCAGTCATCTGGTATAAAATGAAGGTATTCTTTTCAAATGATTTATATCATATGCCATCTCTACCTGAAAAAACAATTCATATATTAAAAATACTTATAAAATCACTGGCTTTCCACCTAGGCAGGAAGATCATGAATTACTAACTACACAGCTACTATTACAATCGGTAATTACTATTACAACCATATACACAGTACAAATTATACTCAACAGTTTAAAATCTAACATTCTTAAAATTCTACATCAAATGTCTCTGTCCCACAGAAGTAATGCTGAAGTTTTAGTTTTACTAAAGCCACATTCTGCTTCACAATGCTATGAGAGATAGGTCAAAGAAGAAAAATGCTCAGACTGAATTAAAAGGGTCCACTTATTTATCCAAGTAGCATTTATATCTTTATGTATTCCTGACTAACCAGACTTTCGAGTTTTCCAGAATGCAAACAGCTATTATTGATGATTAAATGTTCTCACTGTGGTTTGTTGTTGTTGCTGAATTTTGTAAAACAGAATCTGAGGTAGCCTAGGCCGGCCTGTAACTAGCAGAAGATGGCCTTGGACTCCTGATTCACCTTCCCCTTCCTCCCAAGTGCTAGAATTACAGGAATACTAGGCACAGTTCATAATTACCAGGCACAGTTCACAATTTCAATACAATTTTCATATAATCTCACCTCAGTCCTTCCTTGATTCCTAAAAGAGAAAAAAAAAATAAAATAAAATTACTTAGATTGCATATCACTTTCATATATAAGTAAAAAAAAAAAATCTAAAGACATACCCATTCTTACTGCAGAAAACATTAAATTTATTTCAACTAATGGTTATCTTTTGCTCCTATTTGTAATCCTGTAAGAAAAGATTGTCAAAGTAACCCCACATGTTTAGTTTATGAACTTTTATCATATAACTATAACCTCTCCTAATTAACTAATGATCTTCTAATTTGTATTATTTCTAGGAATTTTTAGCCTCTAGCAGCTCATTACTTTCTTTGTCCACCTGAAAAGATTTCATTTACCTAACCAACTCTAGTTTTTTAAAGATTGAATTTAGACAGATGGGTGTCTTGCTTACATGTAAGCATGTGCACTACATATACGCATAGTGCCAAAGAGACCAGAAGAACAAGTCAAATCCCTTGGAAACGTACTTAAACTCAACTGTGAACTACCATATGGGTTCTGGGTCAAGCACTCTAAATTCCTAGTCATCTTTCTAGCCCCTGCCTAAGAAAATCGTAAAATCATCACAAATAAACAATCAGATCTTGCTAGAAGAATAAAGCAAAGCAAGGGAAGAGTTGGGCTAGGATGTAGCTCAGTGTAAGAGCACTGGGTTCAATCCTAGGACTTTCCCCTCCAAAACAAAAAAAGGGGAGGAATGAAAAGATGGAGGGAGGGAGGGAGGAGGGAAGGAAGAAGGGGAGGAAATAAATTAAAAAGAGAGTTAAGATCAACTGTGGAGGACCTTAAATATCACAGCCCAAAGCACAGACTTTACTCTTTAGGCAATGATGATCTGCAGATACTATTTGAACAAAACGAAAGAACAAAAACAAGTTCAGATGACCCAACACACTTGACTTATACCACAAAAAATATAAATGGACTAAAGACTGGAGTGCAAAGACCAAGCAGAAACTGCTGTTTCTCCTCATCAGCTTGGTTCTAACTTGCCTTCATTAAATCCCTCATTCACTCCGCCATTACAAGTCTTCCATATCCATTAGACACTGAGAAGAAGCACAAGTCCTTGTCCTAAAAAGTCCCAGAGCAGTCTGCAACATCAACCTGCCAGAAAGATGTGCCCACTGATGTAATGGTGGCTTGTGTGTTTCAGGGAACTTGCTGGTGTTCATCTGTCTAGGCTGTTAAGTTATTTCTCCCTGAATAAACATCTAATCGGCCGATGTGATATCCTGATCTTTATTAAACTGCAATACAACTGCTCTTTGACTGGTTTTGAGGCCTGCTCCACAAGAGGGGGATTCACATTTGATACTGTAAACCTGGTCAAAAATCCATGGCTGATGAAGCTGGAGATAGCTCAAGGGTTAAGAGTACTTGTTGCTCTTACAGAGGACCCATGTGTATATCCTAGCACCCACACAGTGGCTCACAAACATCCTATCTCTAGTTCTAGGTGATCCAAAATCCTTTTCTGTTGCCTGCAGGTACATTACATGCAGGCAAAATAATCATATACATAAAATAAAAAGTAAAACTAAACCACAGCAAAGTGGTGAACATAATACTGTTATTTAGCTAAAATGTCATGGTGCTAAGCTGCCTTCTAAATATTTACATTTATACTCATAAAGCAATGCTACTACCAGCCTAATCAGAGAAGCCGCTCTTTGCAGTGAACAGTGGTGAATGCAGAGGCCATGGCTGCTCAGGGGGCTGAGAGGAGCGATGGCTGAGTGCTCATCCCTCAACAGGACCTTTCTATCACTGCCTCTGAGACTCAGGAAACAGTGGGGATGGGAAGGCAGAAAGAACTCAAAAGCCAGAAAACAGACAGAAGGACTGTGCAATGCTATTTTCTGATCATGGCACAGCCATGCAGACATGACCTCAGAGCAACAATGGCTGTCTATAACGAGCCACATAATACTTGGAGCCCTTCCCTTCCCATGACTGACGTAGTGTATTCACTGAGGAACTTTGAGGCTCCAGAAGACAGTTCCAAACCCACGGTCACACTGATGATCCTGGTTAAACTCAATGGCTCTCAAAGAACAAAACAAACAAAAACAAAAGGGTAACAGAATCACGAATGTGGGAAGGGAGAAGTATCATAGGCGGGAGATTAGAGATAAGATTCCGATAATCACAATTCATGTTATACAGGTTTGCAATTATCAAAGAAAAAACTCAGTAAAAGTTAAAACAAAACAAAAAAACACTGGCTAACGAAGAGTTAAATCTATAAAGAATTATAAACAAGTAACTGGTATCTTGTCAAATTGATCCAACAGAGGTATATACATACAGTGTAGAAGGAACAGGGGTCCTTGTACTCAGATAAGTACTAGGGAAATCAGGAATATTAAACAAGCAGTGATGTCTCTACAAAAGAAGACAGGTACAATGTTTTCTACCCAGAAGGTTGGAAATGGATTAACATCCTGGTGACCTATCTGTAGGGCTAGGCCACATCTGATTCAGTCATGCCTTCTCAGACCTCTGCCTTGAGCATTGTTTCTCACTCAATAAAACCTTATGTGGTGGTTTGCATGAGAATGGCCTGCATAGGCTCACTGATTAGAATACTTGGTCATCAAGTCACTATCTTTATGGGCGATGTCACATGTGCTTTATATATACATGGTACCCTCTGTGCTATCTGTATGACCTAGACTACACCAGATCGTTCCCTAGACTCTTAAGCTATAGAATCCATATTTATGGAAGAAACCACATGTACTTTGCAAAAGAGTTTCAATGTAGTCATGCCTAAAGTGTTATTTTTGCACACTTGATAGAGTTATCAGGAAACTTTTTTCCAAAATTGTACTGTGCTTAAAAGACGCCAAAATGAACTGCCCAGTGTCAGACTCCCTAAGTTTGAACTGACAGTGGCTATTGAGTCATGTTGAATGGATTGTCTTCCTGCTTCATGTAGGTCATTACTCTGCTGGCCATGGTGTTTACAGAGATCCATACACACCATTATAGTACAGTGTCAAGAAGTGCAGACTAAAATAAGTAAAATAAGTAAAAGACAGGGATCAATAAAATGGGAAAACCTCAGGCTAATATAGACTATCCAAGATAAGAAAGTAGTGCACCCTCTAACACAAGAAGAGCAGCCTAATTTTAAGTAGCAAAAAGGCTTTTAATCAAAGTAAGGAATCTAAGTTATTTTATGGGTATGGGTGTTTTGCCATGTATATGTAGGTGTACCACTTGTGTGCATAGCCCTTAGTCGAGAGAGGGTGTTGGATCACTTGGAACAAGAGTTACAGATAGTTGTGAATTGCCATGTGGATGCTGGGAATTGAACCTGGGTTCTACAGAAGAACAGCCAGTGCTTTTAACTGCTGAGCCATCCATCTCTCCAGTCCCTAGTAGTCTAAATTCTTAAAACATTTTATTACCAATTTCTCAGTCTTTCTTTACATATTGGGAAAATATTATGGAAAAGGGGAAAAATTTACGATTTCACATAAATAAATGAATTTCCATCTTCTTTTCCAACACTTGAAGATTTGGCAATGACAGCCTCAAATTCTACTTGACAACAACCCCACACATGAGTGTGGGTCAGGCACTGGACTGGCCATAGTGGCTTTCTGAACTTACATCTTGAGATGTATGGTGCAGCTACCTTTAAGACACAGAGATGCAGATGGGGAAGGGCAGAGATGCAGAAGACCACACTATCATGTTTACTGGATCGAATGGGGGTAACACCAAAGTCCCAGAAAGAGGGATGAAGGTTTGAACCAGGTGGTGGTAAAATGCAGGAAGAAGATCACAGTGGGTTGTTGAGCTGTCAGAGCTGACAGAAGAGGAAATGGCTGCAAGTGGGCAGCAAATGGAAAAGGATGAATTAAAGATCACATTGACATTTCCAGTCTGGATAACTAGAAAATCACCCAGATGCAATTAGGGAACACAGAGGGGAGGGGAGCTTCCTTTTTAGATAATTATAGCAGCAACTTAGCTAGAATGAGGACAGATTAATAAGCTCTGACAGGTTAACTTCATAGAAAACAAAAGAAAAACTGTAACCTTTAAAAAAAAAAAGGTGGATGCATATAGCTTACCCTTGGTGTGTGTCAGTGTATGAAGTACATTACAGTGTGTGAAGTACACAAGACTTTATTAGTACACATTAAAACTATCACATACCATTTGCCTAATGATCTGTGGCTAAAATGGCCAACACCAACTAGTTTTCTAAACAATATCTCCAAAAAGCAATGAGGTAAGTACCTGGCCCATCCTTCAGAGTTTATCAAGATGCTACTGATTTCCTCATTCACTACTCAGAACCATTTCTCAGTACCCACAGCACTTCTTCAAACTCTACTCATTTCTCTTGCTTTAAAAAACAAAAACAAAAATCATGTCTTGGTTCTTCACTTTTAAAGTATTTCATGGATCCGATATCAAAAAGTCACAAGTTCTTATTATCACTGAGACAATAAACTTCTTTCTTTTCGCAGTTATGAAAACCAACCAAATAAATATAAAATCATCAACAACATTGTAGAGTCTCTGTTGCCTGACCAAGTGAGACAGATATCTGAGGTAGGCTGGATAGTAAAGTCATGGTCCAAATGGAGTGACGATGATGTACGTAAGGTCAAATGACAATCTGGGGAAAGTTGTTAAAGCAAAGTTGGACGAAGAAGGGCTTTTCCATGAAGGAATGGCTTGGCTGGAAGTATGCGCAGAAGTAAGGGCATCTACACAGGAAGGCACCCGAAACGTACTGCTACGCTCCTACCAGTGCAAGAACACATCTCTCTGGAGGAAACTTAACAGTGAGAACACATCCCTGTCAGCAGAGCAAATGGAGCCCACCTCAGGGAATAAGCCAACACAGGGTGAGAAGGCATTCACACATCAGAATAAAGGATAGAACAGCAAATTGTGACTCAAAGAACAAACCAGAATCTGTAAGTTCATACTAAAATAAACAAATCAACTAAAATTCTGATAAAGTACAGATAATTT